GGGTGGGCCATGATAGATACCTGGTGGTAGGTCGAAAAAGACGGAAGGAAGACCTATTAGATCAACTCAAACAGGAAGGCCAAGTGGGGCATTATGAGCTTGTTATGCCTCAAGCAAATTGAAAGCTTACTAATTTATTTTGTAAATGCCTAATGAGGCAGATTTATGAGTGAAAGAAATGCTAGATGTCTGGTTGCAGAGCATATATTCATTCTTAAGATGTTTCATCTTGTTCATTTCACATAGTGCTTTATTAGATATTGGAATCTGAAGAGTTCTGTCCACTTGTATTAGCTTAACCCAGCAGATAATATTGTGCAGTTTACTGTTTGTGTCTTTGATATTGCTGTGTCCCTCAGAATTTAGTAGTTTGTTCAAGCAAGAACACATCCAAGTGGAATTTCACCCTGGTAAAGAAATTCTCATTTTAAAAGGCATAGCACAGCAATCTGCAACAATATGTAAAGTTGATATGAACCACCATAAGACTAGTTTTATTTCCAGACATTAAAAATGTCAGATTATTTTGTATTATCTATTTTCATCTTTGTGTGAAGCCAGTTATAGAATGTTTAACAGTAAATTGTGCTGTATGTGTAAATGTCCTTACCAACTAAGTGATGTAAGATTTTCTTAAAGTATTTGTGTTCATTTATTTATAACTTCAACCATGTGATTTCCAGAATATTGGAAGTAATTTACTGTATCTTGTGATATGACTTTTAACAAATACTAATCTTCACGCTGAGAGAGCGTTACTTGAGAGAGCACTGAAAAGTTTCAAAAACTGCCTCAGTCTGAAGAAAGGAAGCTTGAACTGTTTGTTCTTGGTGCCTTGCAGAGAGACTCACAGCAACTCTCCATTTTAGCTTTCACACGTTTTGGATGTACAGCACATCCAAGACAACCACAGCTGTGGTAGAGCTTGGTAAAAGACTGAGGATCCCATTGGTGCTTTGATGAAAAGGTCAGTTGGCTGGTTCCTCTCTCAAAAAGCTTGTTAAGCCTAAAAAGCCAACTTTGTAATATACTTAAAACTGCTATTTTCGCTTATTACTGGAATGTAAAAAAAAAAAAATGTATAAAAAGACTTAGTGTATGCTTCCTGAATAAAAAGGAGCCAATGTTGATCAAAATTTTGGCGTGCTTCTTTCTGAACAGCAGCCCAGCAGCAACACTTTTGGGTCTTTGGAGAAGGAAAGTGGCATTTGCACAAAATCTTTCAGCCCCAAAGCACATGTGGAAGAATGGAGTGCTTTTGAAATAGGAAATCAGTCACCCAATCACATTTTAGCATATAGACTAACATGTTGACTTCAACTGAATTTTAGGTTGTCCATTTTTATGTGATTTTGTTTTTGAATCTCAGATAAATCAAGTATAATTTCACTTGGGCCAACACAGATGAATAATAATAGTGAAGCACCTCCAGTGAAATGATACTTAAGACAAATAGATTTGTTTGCAACGTCTTAAAACATTTATGACCATGCTTGACTTGTGACTGGCCCACAATAAATAATTGACTTTCCCCCTTTTTTGTATTTTGTTAAGGTAAGCATTATAATTTAATAAATATTTTAAAAATCTGTGGGTATTAGTCTGATAGCAAAATCTTGGTGGCTTTTAGTGACCTATAAAGACTAGCACAAAGAGAGAGAGAGAGAGAGAGACTAGCACAGTGCGTGGTATTTGCTTTCCACTCCGACTTCCTCTACTGTGAGGCCTTTCCTGAGGTTGATAGGAAGGAAAATAAGGTATGCATTTGATTTGAACACTTGATATTTTAATAACAATGGCAAAGGAACTATGCTTTACCTACTTTTGGTTTTCTTTAAGGTGCATGCTGATCTTGAGCTATGGTTAAATCAGAATAAGCTTTACTTCTTTGCATAAGAGTAGCTATAGTATTAAGGGATTTGAAAATTTGGCTCATTTCTGTCTTGACATTGCTTTTCTTATCCCAAAAGGAGTTTTCTAGGGAAAAAAATAGCGTTACGTATAAATCAGGCTTGTTAAATGAGTTCAATAACGTATTAATGTATTTACAATTACAAGATTCACAAATAATTGGGCCAAAAATATACACATTTGGTGCCTGAATTTGGGAGGCTAGATGTCCTTCCTAACTTCTTAGAGCAAATTTGGCAGTAATGCAGATGCAGAATTAGAGTGAAGTCATGTGGCTTTGCTTTAGAACAGCAATGTGAAAAAAATGAGCTGCTGATATCCTTGCTATTTCATTTTGTCCCTTTAGTTGGTTCATTTATTTTCCCTTAGAAACAGGCACTTTTTAAGGTTTTTTTAAGGACTTATATTTTTATTGGGAAGACAGATCAGATTTAGAGAGAAACATCTTTTGTCTGCTGGTTCACTCCCCAAATGGCTGCAGCAGCCAGAGTTGAGCTGGTCCAAAGCCAGGAGCTTCTTCCGGGTCTCCCATGCAGGTGCAGGGTCCCAAGGCTTTGGGCCGTCCTCGACTGCTTTCCCACAAGCAGGGAGCTGGATGGGAAGTGGGGCCACCGAGACATGAACCAGCTTGTAAGGTGAGGATTTAGCCATTGAGCCATCACATTTTACCAAAAATAACCCATTTTTTAACCCAGTAAACTTGATATGAAACCTATATAGGTTTATGAGCGGTTTCACATTTTATTTGGATTGATTGAATTTGTTACACTGACCAGCTACTCAATTGTGTAGCTAAAGTACTGAATATCACAAGTGTTTTTTCCTCCACTTTGATTATGAGATGATGGTCATATCATTGATACATTTTAATAGATTCTTTAAAAAAAGAAGAAGAAAATTATTTTTATTTGATTGGCAGACTTAGAGAGAGAATAGAGAGAAGGTCTTCCATCCACTGGTTCACTCCCAAAATGGTCAGAGCTGAGTTGATTTATTTTTATTTTATTTTATTATTATTTTTTAAAGATTTATTTTAATTATTTTTTCATTGGAAAGGCAGATATACAGAGAGGAGAAACAGAGAGGAAGGTCTTCCGTCCGATGATTCACTCCCCAAGTGAGCGCAACGGGCCGATACTATGCCGATCCAAAGCCAGGAGCCTCTTCTGGGTCTCCCACGCGGGTGCAGGGTCCCAAAGCTTTGGGCCGTCCTCGACTGCTTTCCCAGGCCACAAGCAGGGAGCTGTAAGGGAAGCGGGGCTGCCGGGATAGAACCGGCACCCATATGGGATCCCGGGCGTGCAAGGTGAGGACCTTTAACCACTTGCGCCACTGCGCCGGGCCCAGAGCTGAGTTGATTTGAAGTTGGGAGCCAGGAGCTTCTTCCAGGCCTCATGTGGGTGCAGGGGGCCCAAGGACTTGTGTTAACCCCCACTGCTTTCCTAGCCCATAAGCAGAGAGCTGGATCAGAAGTGGAGCAGGGTCCAGCGTGTTAGCCTAGTAGCTAAAGTCTTTGCCTTGCATGTACCAGGATCCCATATGGCTGCAGGTTCATGTTCTAGCTGCTCTACTTTCCATCCAGCTCCCTGTTTGTGGCCTGGGAAAGTAGTTGAGGATGGCCCAAATCCTTGGGATCCTGCACCCACCTGGGAGAACCCAGGGAGGCTCCTGGCTTTGGCTAAGCTCCGGCCGTTGTGGCCACTTGGAGAGTGAACCAATGGACAGAGGATCTTTCTGTCTCTCCTTCTCTCTGTAAATCTACCTTTCCAATGAAAAAATAATAAGTAAAAAAAAAAAAGTGGAGCAGCCAGGAGTCCAGCCAGCACCCATGATGAGATATTGTTACCACATGGCAGAGGATTAGTCTGTTGAGCCATGGTGCCAGTCTCAGTACATATTTTAGTAGTATGCAAGTCATTCATGTTGCTATAAAGTAACCTATGAAGCTGAATTGGTATCCTAGGTAAAGGACTCTAATTATAACTTTGTTTCATCCTAAATCCTCTTCCTCACATCAGCAAGTGCAGAAATTAAAGACACAAGTTCCAATCTGAGTTCCATTTGGAAAGGATTTGTAAATCTATTTTAATTTACTTTTGTGTAGGGAGCCTATAGTGTTTATCAAACATTGTAAAGTGGGAAAAGGAGCTATCAACCTTGAATGTTGAAATGAGTTGTTGGTGAAGCTTTTTACCCAGGCATATGATGTTTTGGAAATCTGTCGTGAGGTTTTCAAAGGACCGTCCTATGAAAGTTATTAGGAATAGTTCTCAGTTGTTCAGAAGAAAATGCTAAATCTTCCCAGTCTTGTCTCACATTTTTAAAGCATATTAATTATGTCAGTACTTAAGGTACCAATCACAGTAAGTTAATGCAAAACTATCCACCAAATAGAGAATTTAATGTGGTTCTACTTTGAGGTGGAAATGGACTTGAGGGAAAATAGTAGGCACACTTAAGAACATTGTTGTTAGATGAAGCAATCCAGCTCTGCCACGGGCAAGTCCAGTACAAGTAGAACTCCCCACGTGGAGGCCTAAATGTGGTGAGTAGGCACATGTATACAAGGGCTTGATTTAAAACAAGTACCAGAAGGTGAGTTTTCCACAGTCATTGCTTATGCCTCCTTAAAAAGATGGCTTGCTGCTCAGAAGAAAGCAGAGTCTTGTTTAAACTAGAAGGTAGACTCTACATAGGGCTTGAAACTGCATTTTATTGTTTGATATGGTTTATTTTTAAGATAGGGCATTTTATGTAAGGACCAAGAAGTGAGATCTCAATTGTGGGTCAATACACAGATTGTTCCATCCCTTGTAACAATTTCATTCCTTTTCTTGGCTGTAACGTATACAGAACTGATTTTGTCTTATGTATTAATTTCATATTGTTGAAATATTTGTAGAACATTAACACTTATGACTGAAAAGAATTCTCTCCAACAATATCTACCCGTTTGGCTTTTCCACTCGCAGAATTAGCATTGTTGCTTTAAAACGTGGGTAGAAAATTCCAGCCTGAGTGAGCACTAAAATTCATACTGAGCTAAAATGTAATTATACCTTGACTGCAAAATTTTAAGGTTACTTTTATTTACAAGTTTTGAAAAAATGTACATTTTTACATGGGTTACTGTGCAAAGTTAGATTTTAAAAAGCAATAAATGCATAAAAGGTAACAATGGAACATCAGACAAAACATTTACAAGCCTTGTCCCACACTGTTACTTAAAGGTACTATATATCTAAAAGTGTAAATATTGAAAGAAAGATTGCAGACATTGTAAGGTTCTCTCATACTGTTGAAAGGGAGGAAGAAATGAAAGCATGCAGCAGTAACTCAGAGTGGAAAACAGCTTGCCACAAATATGCTCCCTTCCCTGAATTAAACAACAAAAAGATGGGTGATTGTAAATTTCCCTATCTATGGTAACCCTGCTCTTTTAAAAAGATCAGAGGATTTCCAACTTTCCCTAACAGCAGAATTGATCATTATTTCCATTCCTCTGTTCCTACACCTTGAAAAGCAAAACCTCAGAAAACTGGTATTCTGAAACTTAGCATGAATGTGACTCGTTAGTATGTTGCAAGGAGAGGATGTGTCAGTTATTACAATTGATGTACTACTTTGACTGTGATCTTCAACATTCTCCTTCTTGCCAGGAAACATCATTTTAAACTCAGATTATATCATGGAATTTTTGGCCTCCATTCCCCTTTCAAAATTGAGGATTAGATGGGTTTGTTTCCTTGCTCTCCAAGCCATATTCTAAACAGCTTTCACTTTTATCCCAACACAAGTGAAGGATCAGCCAGGATGAAACATCTCAGCCATCATTTTGTTAAGATTAACATCTTTGTCACAAATCTACGCATAAGACCCACTTGTAAAACAATTCATTTTAAAACCTTACTGTAAAGTACAGTGACACAAATAACTGCCAAAGGGTGGAAATGAGATACAACAGAAAAGGAATGAAGCAGTAGTAATTGCTGCAAGTAACCCAGGTACAGTACATTTGATGTCACAAAGGGTGTTGCCTGGTATTCAAGTAGAGGAGAGAAGGGCTAGGAACAGCTCGGCAAGGGAAGATGGAAACAGCACACCAGCTTTTTGCTTTTAATAAAGTAAATGTAATGACAATGAATAAGAAGGTGACAAACTCATCAATATATTTTCTTCTGTTATGGTTAGCTGCTGCTTTTGCTGCATGTTGGGTCAACAATCACGCCAGCTCTGTTCTACTATGGCGGAAACACGCTTTTCATACTCGCGCTTGTTCTCCTGGTACAGCTGAGCAGCTTGGCTGTTTGCTGGACTATTAGGATTTGGTTCATCCAATAGAGACTATAAAGAACAAATTGAAAACGTCAGTCCTTCAGCACAAGAAATACATGTTCAGACAACCAGCCTTATTATAAGGTAGTGACATTGTCCCAAGTCATAGCTAAATTTGCTGTGCTATATAACACATTAAGGCAATAGTAGATATGCAAATATGTTTTCTGGTGGCCTGGGTCTTAAATTTATTTTTTTTGGAAAGGCAGATCTACAGAAAAAAGAAGAGACAGAAAGATCCGTCTGCGGGCTCACTCTCCAAATGGCCACAATGGCTGGTCTAAGCCAATCCAAAGCCAGGATCTTCCAGGTCCCACATGAGTACAGGATCCCAAGGCTTTGGGCCATCCTTGACTGCTTTCCCAGGCCACAAGTAGGGAATTGGATGGGAAGCAGAGCAGCTGGGACATGTACTGGTATCTCTATGGGATCCAGGTGCATGTAGGGCGAGGATTTTAGCCACTAGGCTATTGCGCCAGGCCCGTGACTTGGGTTTTAATGGTCCACCTTTTATCTGTAAGTCTTGGCCCAGAATTAACAGGTGTATTATAACTTTCAAAAGCAACTACCAATATAAACACATCAAAGGTCATAGCTACATTAAAGGAAAAACTCACTTGTATGGATGTTAAAATGGAAGATACATCATAAGTTGGACTCCAGCGGTTCTGAAGTATGTCCAGACATATACTACCATCTGCATAGACTAAGAGCATAGACACAGATATGTTAAACAAAGCAAGACTACTATGGTTTTAACATAATGATAAAAACAGAATAAGGAATACTTTGCTTTGCTTTGGAAGTTTAAAAAAATTATCAGGTTGCTTCCCAGTTAAACTGCCTAAAAAACAAGTTACCAGCATTACTCTTAATCAGGATGATCAGAAAATATCAAATGTGATAGTGACAGACCTAGGAAATACTTAGTGCTGATTCTTCTGAAAAGACTGCCCCATTATACAGAAAATCAAACACAGTAACATGGCTCCTAGCCATCCACTGAATTCTGGCAAATTGATTCCACCAAATTTGTAAAGTGGATTTCCTATCTGAAATAACACAAAATAGCTCGGGCTTCACAAGGTTTCATTTTGGCACACAGCTAAGAGGCATCAGGGCACCTTTATTTCTCAGATGTTCCATGATAACTCTGATAGGTATCCAATGTTGAAAACTACTGATCTAAATGCTAGTGAAAACTAGAACACAAGACAAACCCAATCTTACCTAGCATTAAAAAAGGAAATGATTACTAACAAGTGAATGGCAGAAACAATTCAAAGCAGGAGGCCCTAAGCACAAGGAAAGTTTTACTGCTTCACCTTTAGGGCTGTAGATCTAAATAGCAGTAGACCAACAAGAACAAACAGCAAGTTGACTAAAGCAGTATCCAGGAACTAGGAAGAGGAAATGGGGAATACGTCCATTACAAACACTGAGCTAGTCTCAAACACTATAAAAATAATACTTGCCATTTGGATGGAACATCTTGGAGACAAATCTAACTGTAGGTGGCTTGTTCGGATATTCTTCAGTGAACTCTATTGTAAGTTTGAACGTTCCTGTAGTTAAAAAGGAAGGCATTAGGTATTTGCCAGTCTTTTGTTTTCAAGTATTAAATGACATGATGCACAGATAGAGGGGCAAGAGGGAAGAAACAAGGTAATAAAGACATCTCTAGGAATTGCTTTAAAAATTGACAGATAGTTTAAGAAGCACAACCCAAAGGTGATTTTTGTTCTGCTGTTTTTCTCCCCTAATCTTGACAATCATCATATACTCAAGATTACTGCAAGACAGCTTCAAACACTGTTCAACTTGAAAACATCCTTACAATAAATGACAACCAGGCCCAAATTCGAGCCTTCTTCCTTTATTTAGAAGACTGAAAGTTGTCAGAGGCCTAATTTAATCAACTGCCATTTTAAAGTCTCCAGTGATTTTTTAAATGGACTAGAAAGAAGGAAAGCACAAGGTTCAAAACCCACGCTGGAAATACAAATCCATAATCAAAGCATACAAGTGTTCATGTGATAGTGACTCTGTAATGAAAACTTAAGGCAGAATAAACTTTATAGTCCTTTTCAAAAACCCTTAAGTACTACTCAGCTACTTCGCTGTAAAATTAATTCCATTATTAGTTCATGGAGGAAATTACCAGCAGAAATGACTTTTAAAATCACATTTGGCTTAGAATGCATCTATGGTTCCAGAAATTTGTCTTTCTAATGACATTTGCTTAGGCAACTACGATTGAAATGAAATTAGTGTTCTTGAATGTGTCCTCCTGAGGTATGGGAGACCCTAACACACACTAGCTTACAGAAGTATTGGTAAGGCACAAATTGGATCTCATAAAGAACCACAGGCTGTTGTGTTCTGATAAGATCATGTTCTTCAAAATGGCCATTCTTAGTTGGATTTGTTAATAAATTAAATAACTGAGCCTTTTTCTTCCTGAAATTTTGTCAAATAAACTTAAAGGAGTCATTATCTAGCATAAGCTCCACTATATTACACAGGTCCATTTAGTAAGTTCCTTATTCCAATGTAATAGACCATACTTCAGATAAAGCATAATTTATTACTGGTGCCTTCTGAAACTAGCATGCTTTCCTTCTTGCTCCCCTTAAATGGTTAAAAAAAAAAAAGGATAATCACTATGCTGCTACATCTGTTACATAATACTGAAAATGTTTCCAACTAGAGGGGGGGAACAATTTGCTAACAAAATTGCCCTTCCCGTGAGCCTCCATGGGAAAGGTGCTGAGTAACTGAAAATGCAACATATGGAAACACGTTTCCCAAACTATTGGTACTCCCTAACGTTTTGAAGGTCAGGTCTGAAGAAACTATGCCATGACTAAGAAAAGTAAAATAGAATCCAAACACTATAGCCCTTTCTCTTTGTGAGGAAGAAATCCTTTTATTATTGACATTACAACATAAAAGAAAAAGTGAGTATGTTAAAAAGAAAATTGAGCTTCCTATGGATCTCAAGTGTAAACACATTTCGATCAATGCTGGGATCTGAATAAATTCCAGGGAAGAGACTGCTCTAAAACTGAGCAGGTTTACTAGCACAGAGATCCCAACTAAAGTAAAAGCCCAACATTAAGCCTGACCTCCGAAGGCTGGAAGCACTACACCAAAAGGCACAAGTGAAACCAGAATAATGGATAAGAGCATGAGGTTTGCTCTCAGGTTCGGGCTCAGATTCTTGCCTTGCTGCTTAGCAGCTGTGAACACTTGGAGAAAGTGCTCACCATGAGTAAACGTTAAGTTCCTCATCTGTAAAATGAGTTTAATAATAGTACCCACCACACAGCATCCTGATGAGGTTTCAAGGAGGGAAACATGCATAGTGCCATAAAATAAGTGCTCCATAAGTATGAGCAATTGATTTTGCCATAATAATTCCAAAGCTTCACAGCTCTTGAGCTGGCTGAAGGCAAAACCAAAAATGCAGACTTCTCTACCAGGAACTTACCCAAATCTCATTCAAAATAAACATTAAAAATTGGGGATTTCATATTTTTAACCAAATTAAGCAATCAGAAACTCTAGTACAAATTTTGATGCAATTTCTGAGATCTAAAACAAATGTTAAGCAAATTAAAAATCACAGAATTAATCTCAGAAGAGACCAGACCTTATCCTCTGAATATTTAGATGAGTAGACTCAAATAACTGAAACTTGAGGCCTCACCACTGTGATACATAATCTATAGTGATTTTGCTTATCCCCCTGAGGAGGCCAGAAAAATGTCAGGAAAATCCATCTCCACAGAAAGAAAATGATATAAATGTATTAAATGACTGGTATATTGCAATAAGAAGTGATACACTTGTTGAACTACAGAGTTGTGGCTAAAAGCAATCATTAATCCCAAAGCTGGAAAATATTGTGTTGGCCAAAGAAAACACCTCTGGAGCACATTTGGCCACCACTTTGTGAACCCTAAGGAAAAACAAAGCACATGTACTTAAACATTCTTTTCATGATTCCAAATTCTGTGTTTTTTTTTTTTTAAGATAATACCACAAACTTTTTACCATAAATTTGTTTGCCCTAAGAACACCCTGAGCTGATTTTCAGAAATTCAATTTGAAAAAATATTTACATTCACATTTTTAAGAACAGAACTATTAAAAGCAGATACCAGTACCTTACCATGTGTAATAGATGGTTGACATATCCAGAATATCATATTCTATAATCTTAGTATTCAGCATATATATACTAAGCTATTTGGATGAGGGAGCATTTCCCCCAAAGTTTTGGGAAGTATAAACTCTCAAGAACATATACCCTTTACTTCAAGAATTCCTCTTCCTAATAGTTTGTATCGTTAATGAGGATCTGGCTGTTCAAGAAATGTCAAAATGTTCAAGGAACACATAAAAATCGTCTGGGGACTCTTTATTCACGGGACAACACTGAAAACAATAAAATCAGCTGCCACCTCTTCCTAATCAAGTCTTTCACCTAAGTGTAAACTCCTCAGCTGTAAATAAGTGATATTAGAATGCTAAAAATATTTGTTTGTAGCCACAGCCAGCATTCTTGACACCTGAGAAAGCAGCCATGCATGGATAACAACAGAATTAACCAGAAAAGGGTACTGTCATTTAGCCTGAGTAGTGCCCAGATGGAAATACACATCATGAAATACAGCTAGTAATGTCAGAGGGGGCAGTTCCAGGTAGATAATGGATTCCATAAGTACCTTTTCAACTCATACCACTTAAAACAAGAGAAGCACCCTTGAAATATTTAAGTAGCCAACCGCGGGGCAAAGTGATGCACTATTGATACAGCCATGCATAGCACGCAGCAGTTTGAGTAAAATGAGAATAAAAACAAGGAAAAAAAATCTCACAAATGCTATACCAACAAAGCCAACCAGAACCAAAGCAAATACACAGTTAATCTGCACACCAAGCTTTGCTACAAAGAACTAGCACAATTTTAGTAGAGGAAAATTAAGTCCAACCAGCTCTTGCTACATGCAGATCAGTTCCAGTGATTAACTGTACCTAAGTAGTCTGACCTTAATATCACTCTCCTGCTATCATTTCTTTTTATTGCAGTACTGAAGAGCAGTGATATTTACCCAGGGGGGTGAAGGTAGAGAGGAAGCTAAAAGGCAGCCCGGAGAACTAGCCAGAGTTTCTGAGGGAAATCCAAGTCTGACATACATTGTACAACTGCTTGATAGTGACTTACCTCACATTTTGAGAACTGGTAGCATAAAAATCGTGTCTGACTCAGCAATATAAGTGTGTATTAAGTACTTTATAGAAATGTTTTTGAAAAAAAATTTTTGTTCACACCTCCAAACCAAGGTGTGTGTGTGTGTGTATAGGTATGTCATAGTGCTACAGGGCAAAAGGAAGACAACTCATTGAAACAAAAAAAAGACACACTTTTTAAAACTCCTTCAAATATTAAAAGAATTTCATGAGTTCAAATACTTTTTAATCATGTAAGCTATATTAAACTTTCAAAAATAGTGAATAACTAGCCTTGTCACACATACAACTGAGTGCACATAAATCTCCATGGATGGAACTTTTCTAATTGTGACTTTGTAACACATTCAAGATGTTACCAAATGGGAACTGGCTGTAGCCTGTACAGGATGTCTCGGACTGATTGTAACTGCATATAAACCTACTAAGAGTTTTTTTAATAATTAGCACGTGTGTTTTTAAAAATTAGAAACACGTTACTCCATGGTGGTCCATGTGGTGTGTTCGAGTGGGCGATGCACTGTCAAGAGGGTCCGTTAAGGTTAATCTCCATTGTGAAGCTGCTTTGTCTGAGATGACTAATGTGTTCATGAAAGCACACTCTGCAAATTCCCTTCAAAATAAACACTCCAAGCAGGCTGCTAAGGGCATCCTAGAGTCAGGAGGATGTCAGTCTGTCAGGCAGTGGCAGATGGTAGAGACGGGGCAGGTGTGTGCAAAGGATTCCAGAACCTAAGCCAGCAGGCAACAAGCCCACGGCATACGGCTCCTGCCCCTGGGGTCTCTGCTGTCAGCCACTGGCTGGGTGGGTTCCAGTCAGTCATCTGGAGGAGAGGAGGGGGAGCCATCTCCAACCCTGAACACCAGTTACTCAGTGAAGGGTGAAGTTCTGTGGTCCATCCCCTGCCCCCTGCCCCCTGCCCCCAGGGAGGGCCTTCAGCAGGCAGAGGCTGGGACAGGGAACAGGTGCTTGAGGGCGGAGGCGCCTGGGGCCGGCTGGGAACCCTTTGCCCCCCCAGGTGCTTGCAAAGGTGCGGAAACAAAGTCATCTTACCATCCTCAAAAGGGGTCCCTTCAGGCCTACAAAACAGAGGTGAGAAAAAATTCCTGTCAGCCTGTGCTTCGGGTGCCCCCCTGTGCCAACCTCCCCCCCAGAGAGGCAGGCGCTCCCTGGCCGCGGGCCATCTCCCTCGGGCCCCCCGGGCCGCCGCCCAGGTGGGGAAACCACTACAAAGGGCTGCGCGGGGGGCCCCCCGCGGCCAACGGCCGCCACTCCCCCGGCCCCCCTCGCGCGCCCTGGAACCCCAAACCGTTCCCCTGGCAGCGGGCAGCCGCCTAATGGAGGCACAGGCTCCGGGGACTTGACTAGGCCCTGGCAAGCCCCAAACGCTCGCCTCTCCCCGCTGCGCCTTCGCCAGGGGCCTGCCCGCTCCCCCTCCGCCTCCGGGGAGCCCCGGGGCGGGTCGGCGGCCCCACAGGGCACACTCACCCGAAAATGACCGCATTCCACACCATGATGTTGTTCTCTGACGGAGCCCCGCTGACTCCGGCCGGAGGATCCTCCTGTAACCTTCACACAGACACAGCCGGCGCCCCCCCCAGCCGCCACCGCCGCCGGCGTCAGCCACTCGCCGGGCCCCTCCACCTCCACCACCACCCCACTGCCACCCCCCCACCCCGCGGGCTGGCCCCCACCCCCACCGCCGCCGGCTTCCCTCGCCGCCGGGAAGCCCTCAGGACCCGCCCTGAGCCCCCCGCTAGGCAGTACCCCGGCCTCGGTTGTCCCTCTCGGTTTACCTCTTAAAGTCCCTCATGAGGCGCCGGCGAGCCGGGGTCGACATATCTCTCACAGGGTCAGGGGTGGGGCATCCACCGGAGTCTCGGGCGGCAGCGGAGCCGAACGAGGTCGAGGAGGCTGTCGAGGCGGGCGAGGACGAGGGCGAGGCGCCCAGGGGAACCGCACTGCCTCTCCGGAGTCGAGGGTCGCTCTGGCGCCGGCTAAGCACCACCCCGGAGTAGACGGGGGCTGAACCAACCTGGAAGGAAACGGAGGGGGATAGAACGCCAGGCAGGGCCGTACCAAGATGGGGCAGCCAGGCGGGGGGAGGGGTTGAGCACGAGCAAAGTTGCTTATGTCATGAACCTCGCGCGACCGACAGGGAGTGGTGTGGGCACCGTCCCGTGCGGTGCCAACCGGGCGGGCAAACGAAAGACCATGAGTCACAACGATTTCGGCGTGCTAGGGTGTCGAACGCTATTTGCCGATTCTTACACGAATCCTGGGGAAGTTTCAGCGGTTGGGTTTTTTTTCCTCCCCCTCTGTCTTTTGAGATCTGATCGTTTATTCGAGTGCTTCGTGTGGGTGGCTGAGAGGGTGAGTGGCGGCAGAGGTGAGAAGGCGGAAAAAAGATCGCCTGGTCCCAAACTAGCAGAAAAAAGGAGTCGGCAGCCCAGGGCCGGGAGGAGTCTGTAGAATGGGCTCTTACAAAGCGGAACTGTAGGGGGCCGACGCACATGGGGAGTGTGCCCCAGTTAGAAACTACTGAACGTCAAAGGAATAAAACGAATGGGACTATGGAAGGGCACCGTGAACCCCTTTTCTGTGGGATGGCAATGTGCAGTTTTCAGGTCTCGGCAATTTAGGCCATGATCACCCCTCAAAGCAGAATCAAATGGGGTTGTGCTTCCTGGTGGGAGAGCTTCAGGCAAGAGGAATAGATTGCTGGTGTAGGTGGATGGGTGTGTTTTAAACTCCGGGCACTCACAATTTGGCTTTGGAACCACATTTTCCCCTTGGCCGTTCGGCGAGCCAAGCGGCTACTCTATGCTCAGCAGAGTCCAAGGTGTGAGAGTATCCGTTTGCAGAGAATTGCCAGGACAGTAGATTCCAAATGAAAGCAGCAGTCAGGCACGCGTGGGAAGGCTGCAGGCTGCAGGGGAAAGTCAGGTTAATACGTGGACTTGCAAAAGCAAGAAGAGTCTTAAAAGAGAACTTGTAAAACTCGACCCCAAATAACATAGAAGGTAGGCAAAATACACCTTTCAGAATTATTGAAAATGTGGGAAAGGTAGGTACCCATGAAGTCGTGGACAGTGTTGAATGCCAAGCTAATGGATTCGCTTGGTGATATCGTGACAGTTGTGCTCAGCAGAAAACCAACGACCAAAACACTAACCCTCCAGATAACAGATAACCCGGGATTTCGAGGTACCATCAACACAGTTAGGGAAGAGATGAGGAGGAGGTTCAGAGGATATTTTGGACAGGATTTACTGAGTCCATGGGACCGGTGAGGCACCCATATGAAGATATCCAGGAACTGTCCCATAATGCTGCGGTTTGTTTCAACATGAGGTGTGGGAGGCACAGCCAGTGGGCCAGTGTTAGGGGTTACCTGCTGCTTAACAGCAGGTGCTTTCATGGCTGGTGATTTTCAGGTTCCAGTAACTCCAATGCATCAGTTAGGGCAACTCTGCCTAGTAACATCACCAAGGCTGTGGTCAGAAGGGGGCACACAAATCGATGTTTTTAAATTCCTTTTCTGTCCTGTAGAAACTCCAACTCTATTATTGCACACATGTGAAATCAACAAAAGATCTACCAAAGCAGGTGCATCCATTTTCTGTCTCTGCTTTAACAGAGTAGCACAAGTTGGCACCCCATTCCTTGTGGTGATAGACCAGAATGTCTTCACAAACTGCCAGCCCAGGAGCACTCTCAACTGCCAGCGCCCACCCACACTCCTTCCCACATAGTTCATGCTGACTTCAAAGTCAACAGCAGAGAATTCTTCTCCAATCAAATTTCTCTCATGCTTTGACTCTCTTTTTTCAAGAAGAGCGCCAGTTTCCTTTAAGGACTTATCTGATTAGGCCAGGCTCACCCTTCATAATATCCCTATCTTAATATCATCTGATTGGGCACCATAATTACATCTGCTACATTCACAGTTGAAGCTGAAATGGAGTTTCATTTTAGAAGCTGGAAGACAGTGCGTGTGCATACCAGGGGTCCAAGAATCCCAGGGGATGGTGGCGTGTTAGAGTTCTGCGGATGCCAGCCCAGCAGCAGCAAGATCCACAGCAGAAGCACATGACCCCCACCTCCACTAAAGGAGCCATCTGCAGTGTGCTGGGGTCAGGAGAAGTTTCAATGAAATTATCTGTTTCGATTTCTTCAAAAAGAGATGAAAGCAGAGTTTGAGGGAGAAGGACTCATACAGCTTGTACAAGGACAGCAGCACAGACAAGGGCATAGGGCCAGACCATATTCCAAAGATTGTGGGCAGAGTAGCTTGGCTAAGGGAGAGAATCATAACTGGAAAAAAATGAGCCCTTGAGCTTAGAAAAAAGTTGAGTGACGGAAGTTGATTAAATGCCCTCAGATACCAGGAAGAGTGACTTGCGTGTGAAGGGCAGCTTTTACAGGTGTTTGAGCAAGAAAGTGTTGCATCAAGCATGTCCTACTAGGAAGCAGCCTGCACTCTACTGGAGAGTGTGAAAGAACCTGGGAAACCTCTGTTACTGGATAGAAATGTCTGAAATTAATTAAAGGATATAAGTGTGGTTGAGTTCATTATGGATTTATCTTTTTTTTTCTAAACCTTTTTGTTTCTTCCTTCCTTTGACCACACACACACACACACACACACACACACACACACACACACACACAAACTCAGGAGGAACATCACACACACACAAGAAAACTCAGGATGAATATGACCTAGAGGAGTTGAAACGCTCCAAAGCACCTGCATGGGAATGGCATTCTGTAAGTGTGCAGTGGAACTGTGTTGGTGCAGGATAGACACAGCAAGCAGTGACATGGATGATTATTTTCCAGCACAAGTGATTGTCAGGTTAGAGCACACTAGCTATAGCAAAGCTAGCCAAGCATTCCTTCCAACCCCATCTTGACTTGACCTCTTGAAGAAATACCCTCTTCACAGCTAAAGACCACCGCCATCCAAGGGCAGCAGTCCAATTTAGGAGACAAAAAATGGTGCTAGTCATGTAGCTGAATATTTTCGTGTCAGGGTTTTAGACCCTGCCAGTAGGGCCCCCGAGGTCACTGAGAATGCAATATTATTATTATTATTTCACTTATAAGACTATGGCTTGCAATGTTGTTAACCAGGGAATACAAAAGCAGTTTACTTACCTAGAGATTCTACTTCTATTGGCAACATTTACTATAAACAGTAGGAAAGAACAAACAATAGAAAAGTCTTCACTCCAACTATCTGGAGTCCAAAGAATTACACATAGGAAGTAACAGCTGTCACAGTGAGTGCTCTTGGCAACAGAAGAAGTAGTATGTTACCTATCTACACATGAGAAAGAGATGTTAAGTGAAATGGGGAAACTCTGACCTTGAACACAGAGTCTCACTACATGCTGAATTGCTAAATTAAGGAAAACAAAGGCATGGTGTGGTAAGCTGATTAATACTCCTCTCCCATCTTCATGTGTTAATCTCTGAAATCTGTGATATGTTACCTTCTATGGCAAGAGAGGCTTTGTAGATGAAGAATCCTGAGGTGGAAAATGAGCCTGAAATAAACAGGTGTGCCTAGTGCAATCAGCCCTTACAACAGGGATAAACAGGAGACAGTTCAGTGATGACAGAAATTAGAGATGGGAGTGATGTAGCCACCTGCCTGCCAAGGAGCTAAAACATGTTGGGTTAGAAGCTAGAAGAAGTAGAGGATGAATTCTGCAGAGCCTCCAGAAGCAATCAGTCCTGCTGGCACCCTGAGTTTGGACCAGTGAAATTACTTTTTGGACTCCTGATCTCTGAAAGTATCACTATAAATTTGTATTGTCTTAAGGCATTAAGTGTGGGGCAATTTCTAGCAACACCAGTGTGAAATCGATACACATGACAACAGTGTTACATGTGGAAACCCAATCAGGCTAGCCATAACGCTCGCTTGTGAAACTACAATCAAATCCAGACTGCCATCTTTTCTGGTATAGTCTGCAAGCTAATGACTAAATTACAAATTCATTATTATGACACATGAAAATTTCAATTTTAAGTTTTGCTAGGACACAACTATGCCCCTTCATATACAAATTGTTTGGGGTTACTTTTGTATCAAAATGGCAGAGTAGCTGGGACAGGCTGTGTGTGGTGCTGTATCACTTCACCCTGCAGCTTGGTGCACTGCACATTGCGATGATGCGGTAAAACTCGATGGCATTCTTATTCCATGTATATTGACATACAGCAGCTATGTTTACAAGTGCAAATGCACATATACAATGTTAAGACAACACAGTAGATTTTGAATGTTGTGCTTTTTAAGGTACAGTTGCATGCGGATTACTTATTTACGTAATTAGATGTTGAAAGGTTTAGTTGAATACACAATGATTTTGTGTCAATGCTAAGCAATGACAGTGTACATCAATATTATTAAACATTCATCACAACATTCCCAACTTCATAGGGGAGCGGTGGTTAGAAAAATTCAAAATTTAGAAACAAACTATCACAGCAGTATTCATCACAAAAGGAATAAGGGAAAACAGGACTGCAGCCAAGCGAGTTTTTGAGTGGCTCATTTGTTAGTTGAGCAAGGAAAGTCATTTATTGGTGGTCAATTAATTAAATCATATTGTTGCAGAAGTGAATATGATTAAGGAAAATAAACTATTAAGACTATTAGCTTTTCAATAGGAACAGAGGCTCAAAGATGTGGAAGCAACACCAATAACCAATTAAGAAAACAAGGCAAATGATTTCAAGTGGTTTCCCTTGGCTTTTCATGAGTAGATGAATATTACCAATGCATACATGATTCAAAAAGTTTGTGGAAAACGGAATTAAAAGATAAGTTTAACCCCAGCTGTACTTAGGTTGCCTTGTACCTAGGCAAGTGGAAGAAAAGCAACCAATAGCTGGCAGGCATTCTGGGCCTGGTTAATGCCAAAATTGGGTTAACTATACGAATGTGCCTGCATTGATGATGATGCTTCTTCTTCCTCGCCTCTGCCCACCCACACACACACTTTTGTTTTT